CCCGGCAGCTGCCCCACCCCCCCCTCCCCAATCCCCCCCTGCCCCCCCTCTCTGGGGGCTGTGTCACATCTGCCGTCCACAAGAGGATGGAGTGGGTGCCATGGTGGGAAGCTGGCATCTGACCCCCCTGGCCGGACCCCACTGTCTTTTGGGAGCAGCGTTTCGACGGCCGTCAGGGCCATTTCCGGCGTGGCTGGTGCACAAAGCTGGCCCTGTGCTCCTTGACTTATGGCTCCATTTACTCGACCCTTCCCGGGGAGCTGTGCCGCCTGCCCCCGCGCCGTGAACCGCTGGCGGCCGGGACAAAGCTCCTTTCTCCCTGGGGCAGGGAACCGCGCCAAGGGGCGTCCCCAGCCGAAACAACGCCGTCGCTCCTCAGGGGGCTGTGGGGTGCGGGCTGGTGTGGTGGGGGGCAGTAAGTGATGCTCTCCCACTTCCCCTGGGCACCAAACCCTTGTGGGCTGTAGTGCCGGCCATTCCCAGCTCTTCAGGGCAGTTAATTCCCATCAAGGACCCAACGGCTGCCAAATTCCCTCCTGATGAAGGTTTAGGCGGTGGTGAGCATTGTATGAGAGACTGGTGAATGTTTCAGCTTCACTCGCTGTCCCTGGCCACCAAAAGCCACCAGGCAGAGTGCTTGCACCCACTGCAGCGTCCTGCCAGGACCTAGACCAGGAGAGGCCCTGGAAAGGGCAGATCCTGGGGCTGTGAATTTGCAAGGGAGATGAGAGCTCAGGGCATGGAAGCTGCAACACCCGAGGGCTCATCCGGACACCGAGATCCTCTCCTCTGAGCCCAGGGATATGCCCCTGCTTCCCCATCACTGTGGCACAAAGGGAAACTGAGGCAAGGAGTGCAAGGAGCACCCAGAAAAGGCAGCGTTACCTCTGCATTCGGCATCTGAGATGGATGTGCACTCCTTCACCAGCACCTCATTATCCTCACAGGTGGTGCAGGGCAGGCAGGGGTCCACGAAGTTGACTTCGTTGGAGAAGGTGCCCTCGGGGCACTCCTCGCAGACCGTGTCCTGCGAGTCCTGGCAGGGGAACATGAGGCCGAAGCCCTCCTCGCACACCCGGCACTCCTTGCAGGTCCCGCTCTCCTCGTCCTGGTAGTAGCCATAGGCGCAGCGGCACACGGCATCGTCCGACTCCACGCAGGGTGCAGACATGCTCTGCAGCCCCACACACTGCGTGCAGGGCTTGCAGGCCTCCGTGGCGCTCACCGTGTCCGAGTAGGTGACGCCTGGCAGGGGACAGAGGGGGACATCAGCAGGATCCTGGTATGAAGTCCCCAGCCCTGTGGTCACTTTGCTCCCCAGCGACAGCTTCGTCCCATCACCAAATTATGCCAGACTGGGGAGATGGGTTTCTGCAGCAGCTGCTGGCTGGGACCAGCTCTCCTTTCACCATTTTCCCTCTCCTCCAGGCCAGATGGAGCAGTGTCCCCCACCCTGCAACCCCCTACCACTGCCCAGCATCTCCCAGTCCACAGACTCTGCTTCCCATTAACAGCTACACCCTTTCTGCAGCTGATCCCAGTGCTGGGTGCCCTGTCCTTGGGCAAGCATCCTTGTCCCCATCTGGAGCACCAACTCCATTTCTGACCCCTGGATGGTCCCCATGGGCATCTGACAGCCATCACTGCTCCCCAGCATCCCAAACACTTTCTCCTCCACATCCTGCCCAGAGATGGGGGGTGGTGGGGGGGGGTCCCTTGGGCATCAACACCCCACGTCCCCCCTCCTTGGCCATGTGTCCCTAATGCGGGGTGTGATGTGAACAGGGTTACAACACCAATTGCTGACTCTTCTCTGACCCCGGAGCTTCTCACTCTCCGGTTTCATCCTGCAGAACCGACTGCCGGGGAAATCAATCCTTCTCCCGCAGCCGCCCCCGTGCCCTCTCCCCACTCCCAAAGGTGTTTGAAGATATTTTTAGCCTCGGAAGAGGGGGCAGCTCCCATCCCAGAGGGCACAGCTGCTGTCCCTCTGTCTGCTCCCTCTCAGCCATCCCCCCCAAGCTGCAATGCCCCATCCTCCCTTGTCCTAAACAGCAGGGAAAGTCCAGCCTCCGGGATGGAGAGAGTGTTGGGGGGATGAAGCATGATCCCTGCTTCTCAGGAAGGCAACTCCACTGTGAGGTGATCTTGAATTGCCTCCCTGTCTACCAAGTATGGTGGTGAGAGATGGTGATTCCCACCCTCAGTGGCCTTCAGCTTCCCTGGGTGGCCAAGGGGACACCAAGCAGTCCTGGGGCTTAATTTTTTGCTGCTTTCAAGACAGAAGGGAAGGCAGAGCCTCGAGACCCTGGTGATGGGCAGGGATGGAGGTGCCATCCCCACCTCGGCTCAGCTGCAGCAAACCCTGAGCAAACCCTTGGCTCTGCTTGGGGGTGGGCAAGCAGCCCCTGCCCCCCTGCTTGCCCCACTGCAGGGCCATTGCAGCACCGGGTCGGCCGTCAGCATGCACAGCTCCCATTAACCTGGGCTCATCCTTTGCATTATTCTGAATTATTGATAGGCACCATTAGAGCGGGGAAGTGGCCAGGAAAGGCATACGGCTGAGTGGGCACATTTGCAGTGGCAGGGAGGTATCTGAGCTGAGCAATTACAGCTGAGATTCAAACAGGCCCCCTCCTGCCCGCCCGCAGCGATGGAGGCTGGCGAGGGGGATAAATAAATCATGAGGCAGCAATCAGGGGTGGCTGGCAAGGGAGGAGAGAAAGAAAAGCAGAATAAAAATAAAATTTAAAAATATATATTCAAAAGTTATCATAAAAATTTAACATCATTATAATAAAAAGTTATACTGGAAATAATTATAATAATTTTTTAGAAATAAAAACTATGTCTATTAAATAAATATGTAAGTGGCCATTTGGGCTAATGCAAAGACCCCAGCCCCCATGGTCTTTGGCAGGGTTGGTGCTTTGGTGGAGCCCATGGAGGTGTGGATCGGGGTGGCCCAGGGCTGTGCCTGGGGTGGAGGTGGGGATTTGGGTGGCCCAGGGCCGTGCCCGCATTCCTCCCCGCTGGCTCATCCAGGTGCTTTGCCAGGACTGGGGCTGCCCAGACCTGCCAAGCACTGCAGCACTGGGATCCAGTATGAGCCCAGCTCCCAAAGGACCCTCTCCCCATCCTGGCAAGGGGGTTTGCAAGTGTCCTTTCCCCACCCCGAAATCCCACTCAGAGAAGAGCAGGGGGAGCGTTTGCCCCCTTGCGGCACCTGTACCCACAGTCACCCCCACCCAGCAGCTCCCAGCTGACGAGCTTCTGGTGATTATCCACGCTGCCATTAACGAATCAATGAACAAGTGCAGCTGGGGCAGGGCTGGGGGGATAAAATAAGAGGCTTTGCAGGGAGTTTTGGGCTGGTTGTGGTGGCTCAGCTTTGTTGCTCCCTTGTTGGGGGTGATGAAGGGGCTGAGTTCCCTGTTTGGTGCTGCAAATCAGGGTGATGGTAGGCCTGATCCTGCCCTGGGGTGCTCACTATGCTGCTGTGTAGTTGGGTAGGTGATCCTATAGAGTTGGTATTCCCAAGCAAGGGGAGGGAGGGCTGCGAGCTGCTGGGGAGCAGAGGAAGGGAAACTGAGGCACAGAGAGGGACTGGCAGCTGTGTAGAGAGGCCAGGGGTGCTCAGCCTTGCTGGTCCATCAGCAGCAGCTGCACAGGGTATGAAGTGATGCTGGAAGGCCCTGGGGCTGCAGCTGTAGTTTGCTGCTCTCATCCCCACAGGAACAGAGAAAGGGCCCAGACAGACCCTTTTGTCCTGGTCCTTTCCAGCTCAGAGCCCTGCCTGGTGTTAATCCCCCTGCTAAAATGCAAATGTTTGGCCTGGGGCAACAAAGAGCTGGGATGCAAACCAGAGCAGTGCCACTTACACCTCGATCACGGTCCTGGTCTCTCCATAACATCCACGTCCTCTGGGGAGAAGGGTGGAAATTCCCTTTATCACCCAATTTCCCAGAAAGAAATAATGGAGATGAGCCATCTGCCAGCCTGGAAATGTGGGGGGGTTACAGGAAACCAGCTCATCCGAGCATCCCCAAGAACACAACACAACCCCCTGGATTTACAGCCTTGCACCCCCAGAACCTGGACCCCAACACCCAGCTCACAGGGATGGGTGGCACAGAGGATGCTCTGGCACCCTGGGGTTACCTTGCAGCAGCCAGGAGGGTGTTCAGCCCCCCAAGGCCCTGCAGCCGGGTGCAGGGAGGGTAAACGCTGTTGATCGATTTTGCAGGAAAGCAGAGGTATTTTTAGCCCTGCCCTGACACTGCTCTGTCCCCTGCTCCGCGCTGGCACTGCTCAGCTTATCCTGCTGCTTCCCCTAGACTTTACCTCCTCTTTGCTCCCCTCTCTCAAATCACATCCCCAGAACGACCTGGGCTTGGCTGGCACAGCTTTTCCTACAAATACTTCTCCTTAGGCCTTCAAAGGTTTTCCAGCAGTAAATTTGAAGGGCAGCTTGCTTATGCCTATCGTGGCATTGTTTAAACAGCGATGGCTGGACCACTTCATCTGTAAGCATTTAAGCAGGTCTCCAGCACGCAGCTCTCACTGACATTTATGGAGCATTTGACATAGAAAATGTGCCTGGAGCTGGCCAGGAGAAAACTGTTCCCCTCTCTCTTGGGGACCGATGTGATTTGCTCCTCCCATCTCAGAAATTGCTTTTATTTTGCAGTCTTTACAAGGTTTGAAAATAAATAATACAGATGGCTCATTGGGAGGAATCCCTGTGGCTGGGCCTGAGACCAACACACGGTCAGCATGAGGAGGGGGATGTTTCGGAGGCAAACACCGGCCACGATCCAGTCGCCAGGGAGCTAATGGTGCTGGAAGGGGGATCTGCAAAGGTACCTGGCACCAGTGGGTCCCATAACAAGGAGAGATGCTGCATCCATGGCTGGGATTTGCAAGGAGGATGTTTTGGGGTGTTGCTAGAGATGACCCCAGTGTCAGGGCAAGGATGCAGTGCAGTGGGGCTGAGCTATGCAAGGGATGTACCCAGGATAGTTGGGTTGTGCACCAAAAAGAATGAAGCAAACCATACAAATTATGCCCAGGCACCGCTTCTAGAGGGAAACAGAATGCACATGAGGAGAGGCCCAAGTGCCTGCTAATGCTCATGGTCCCCAAATCCCTCCCAGACCCAGTGCCAGCCCCTTTGGTGGTGGGGAGCGAGTACTCACTGTCCAGGCAGGGCTCACAGACGGTCTGGTTGACCCCGCAGGGCTGCACCACCCCCTCGCCCAGGTTGCAGGCTTTGCAGCACTCCCCACTGGTGGTGTACATCTTGGTGAAGCAATTGTCCTTGGAGCCCCAGGCGGGTCCCTGCGGGAGAAAACAGAGCCGGGAGGTGACCCATGAGAAACGCACCCAGGTAGGGTCCTGCTCTGGGGTGAGCACCCTAAAGCTCACGTGTTAAATGCAGGTTTGGGGAGAAATTACTTTCCTGAGCAAAAGTTGTCCCTCCCAAGTGCTGCTGCTGGAGGGAGGTCAGGAAAGTATTTTTAGGGATTGCCTTTCCATGGCGTTACAGCACTGTTTGTGCTTGTCTATAATCTGAGTTGTCTCCTCTAAGGATGCTTTGCCATCCTGAAGGGCTCAGCCCTTCCCACCCTGTAGGACAACAGGGCTTTACCTTCAGGATGGTGGCAGGGAGACCTCCCTACCCCAATGTGGGGCAGGGAAATCGGCCCCCACAATGGAAATGAAGACTTTGAAGGGAGCACTGGGACCCTCAGAGGCATCACTGTCTAATGGAAGTAAGTGTATCTGCTTATAAAACCTGTCATCACATCTGGAAGCCATAAATGTGTCACGAGCGGCAGGGTCAGAGCCACGCGTGCTTTGCAGCCTGGAGAGCAGGGTGCACTTGTGGGATAGCTGCCCCCCAAAATGAGCCGTATGCAGCTGCAGAGATGCTCATAGTGATCTGAGCTCTGCCAGGGCTCCTTCTGCTCATAGATAGGTGTGCTCTGAGGCTGGGCCATCCCTTTGCCACCCAACTAAGCCTGATTTTTTGGAGGGAAAAACTCAGGATTTTTTGGGAAAACTCAGCAAAGTCTTGGAGGAGCTTCCCCCTCCCCGTGCATCTGGATGCCTCGTCAGCCAGTTGGCTGCCTCCTCGCACAATGCGGCGTTATGAACTCTCGTTATGAACTCGCTGTGCATCATCCGGCAGCATCCGGCCCGGCGGAGACAATGGAGCGCCAATTATAGGCATCTGAATGACAAAGTGCTCCAATTACCCTGCGCTGGAAAGCCTGTGCTCCCTTCCTTGGCGCTGCTTCGCCAGCCCAAGCTGGCACCCGCTCCAGCGCTGGGCCCCAGCTGCGCGGGCAGGGCTTGGTGTGGGAGGGGGGTCTTCCCAGCACCCCCAAATGACAGCAAGGAAATAGGGTTGGGGGTGAGGAAGGGGCTCGCTTTGCAAAAAGGGGGGCTGCACGCCTCTGCTGGGGGATAAATCCGGCTCATGGGGGGCTTTCCAGCAAACCTGGTTGGGTCCATCTCCTGCAGCCCCTGCTTGCAGTGTGTCTCCCCCTTCTTGGGCAGGGGTTTGCTCCCTGCCCACCTCCCCCCTGTCAGATCCCTCCCCGCCCGCGCTCCTAAATGTAGAAAATGCAACTTCCAGTCCCAGGTGCTGCACCCCCTCCCTGCTCTGCCTTCGTTCCCCTTTCAGTTCTCCATTTCAAGCACTGACATCCCCCCAAAGGGGGTGGCGGCAGCAGCCGGGAGCGGGGCCGGGGGAGCAGCCGAACGTGCCCAGTTATAAATAGGACTGGGAGGACTGGGGCAGCGCAGCTGGGGCCGGCGGACGCGAGCTCCCCCAAGCCGCAGGCACATGCAA